GACTATCATGAGTGGACTTCTTTTATTCAGGGTCACGGCTCGAATGACCTTTTTTTGATTGTGAACTCTACCCCCGAGCCTGGGCATGCTTGGATGTTACTGTTTGATATTGAAGATATTTTGCTTAAAGCACATCTTCCGCGTGCATATATTGACACGCTCGCTCAATAACTTCGCTATAAGTCCGAGTTGGTTGGAGGGCGTAAGAGTGAATCAGATCCAAGTTATTTATAGCTGACATAAATGTCATTCTGGCTACATCATCCGAGCAATCCGGAACTATAATTTTTTCTGCCATGAATCTTCCAACGAACTCGCACAGCGATTCATCCTCCATTTGATAAATAGTGAGAATGTGGGTATCAGGCTTTTTCCTGTCATGTTGCATAGAAAATTGGTTAATGAAAACCTTTCTCAATTGATTCCAAGACCCGATGGTCTGGGGTTTTAGCTGTTGGTACCAAGATTGAGCTTGGCCCTTCAAGATGACGGAAAAAGCCCTGCATTTCACGTCACCGGCAGTATTTAATTCCATCAGACCTTCGTACAACTCAATGTGGTCAATCGGGTCAGTTGATCTGTCATACGGTTTCATATCCGGCTTCTTCATTTTTTGTGGTAGATGATATGCCATTATTGAGGATGTGAAAGAGGGATCTTCCCGTTGACCAAGCTCTACCCAGTGGCCATATCCGCCTTGCAACTCTGCCTTAAAGTTTCAAAATCATTTCGAAGCTTACTGATCACTTCCTTCATAGAGTCTTGCACCTTTGGTATGTTCACCGTGGCTTGATATGTCGATGTAGTCGTGGTCGCTGTGGTATGCGGCTGCTGATTCGTGTTCGAAGTGACTCGTCCAGTGGCGGGGTAGACCCCAAGTTCAGCGTGACCGGAGTTTGTTCCCCCACTTACTGGGGTACACTGCGTTCATTCCGCATTTGACGAAGGTCAGGCACCGCTATTGTAATATGCACCCGCAGACCTTTTCTCGGATCAAGCGTGGCTGTCCACCTTGCTCCCAAATTTCGGCGCTCGTGGACAGACACGCGCGACTGAAATTCTTCTTCCCCTGATATCGCGGGAGCTTTTCCGCGTGCCGGATCTCGTGGAACAGGGGATTCGCTTGTATGTTCATGTACATCAACTTCTTGGACCCTGACTGACGGTCCCAACGTCCCCCGTTGGAACCTCCGAAATTTGACTATGACGCAGGGCTGCAGTCAAATTCGCTATTTCTACTCTCAGGTGGGCGACTCCACCTAACTCAAATCAGACCTCATTAAGTTCTGTGCGCAACCCTGCCAACTCCTGGCCCATTTGTTGGGCTGTACTTGATTCTCGCTCCACCGCCTCTTATCAAAGGTGTTCGTCCCCGCCCCCGGGTTGGGGTGGTGCACGTCGTGTTTTGTGTCCGGCTGCTTGTGAATGATCGTTGAGACATTCCATCGTCTGCCATTGTCGTGATAGTTTCGAACAAGACTCGTTGTTGATTTGTGATTTAAAGAAAACTTTCGATCCCCACAAATGGCGCCAATTGTTTTTACCGAAAAACTTACGTTAATCACAATAGATCCTTGAGAACACTCTTGGATAAAGAACCTGCAAAAACAAGTTAGCACTCCAACGATCCAGTCAGTTTCTGTGCTAAGTAAATAATTAGAATTTGAAGGAATCAATTTTCGCGTACTCGGCTAATTTGTTTCTATGGTATTTATAAGAGATGAGAAAAGTAACTGTTGAGAAATATGGCTCTCCATTTGAATAAACGATTCCAGTTTCAAAAAAGTAGGAAACCTGCATGCTTAGTGGGGGAATGGTTGGGCTGCCACGTGGGTACTGGATAAAACCGTTCGGCTGAATGCCCAGTTCAGCTGTGATCTGAACTATTACCGATTTTTTCTGCCGGGTGATCTTCCTAGTAATTAACTTGGCATGGTGACGTGTCTTAAGATTTAGAGGATAAACAATAATAAAAAATAATTTAACAGATTTTGGAATAGAGGTATATGATAATTTAAACTTTTCATAAGAGTGCTTTAGCCAAGGCTCGGGAGCCTGAACCCCATTTCGATCTAATATTAGTGAAATATTTATAAATATTGTATTTGATTGGTGTATGGTGATTTTTTTTAAATTTCTTTACTATATATTACTTACCACAAGAAGTTGATATTTTTATTTATTTAAAAATATTTTTTATTTAAAGCTACTAATTTAGTTTTTTTAGAGCATATTAATTTAGTATTTTATATCATGTTAATTTCTATGTAAACCATATTTCCTTTATAGAATTTAAATTTAGGTTAAATTATAAAAAATATCCCTAAATCATACCCAAACAAAAAAAAATAAAAAATATCCCTGAACTTTGCCTTTTGATTTAGAAGGACGTCTATCATTTGAAAAGTTTTAATACTACCTTTGTCTTTAATAAAATTTTAAAAAAAAATATTTAGGTAAGTATCTGTTAATATTTTGAACGAAAAGTTGATGTCACAAGATCTAAAACGACGCAAAAATTAAAATGGATGCTTATCTAGATTAAGTTTGAAAATGGAGAAAAGGTAGAAAAAGCTATCGTTCATGAAAATGTTATTAGGTTAAAATTAGAGAAGCAAACCGAATTGATAATGGAGGAAGCAGACTCTCGCAAAATTGAGTAGATAATCTAGGCAACCTTCTAGTTAATTGTTACGTCATTCCAAATTCTATCACCTCAACTTTCCATTAAAAATTTTAACGGATGTTTGCAGCTCAAAGAATATTTTATAAACTTCTAGTAGGAAATGTCACGATAGTTTTGAAGTTTTTGAAAAGACAATGGTATTTTTTTTTTATAAACAAATTAACACAAATTTCAGAGTATTTTTATAATTTAACCAAAAATTTATTCATAACATATATCTACTAATATGAAATATTAACAAATCAATATTATAATTCATTTAGTTTCTTATTTAAATTTGATTTTTTAAATATAAAATATAAATGGAAATCAGTTAAATATTTTTGATATTTCAAGTAAATTACAATAAAAAATTATTTACACAATAAAATTATAATTCTTATAAAATGAAAATCAGTCTTATACATAAATTAATATCAAAATATATAAACTACTCTCTTTTTTTAGCACAGCTCGTGATCTTTTAATTGGAAATATACATTAAGTAGTTCAACTATACTCAAGTTGATATAATATATAAACTAATTAAACTATTTATTAAATGAATTCAAATTTTAAGATAGAAATTAAAATTTCAAATTTCGAAAAATTATAATTCTTATAAATTAAGTTATATAAACTAATATAAACTATTTATCAAATTTAATTCAATTTTAATATAGAAATTCCAATTTCAAATTTTGAAAAAGTTATAATTCTTATAAATTAAGTTGGCACAATATATAAACTAATATAAACTATTTATCACATGCATTCAAATTTTAAGATTGAAATTCAATTTCCAAAATGAAAAAAGTTATACTTATAATCCTTGTAAACTAAGTTTGGTATGATATATTAACTAAAATAAACTATTTATACAAATGCATTCAAATTTTAAGATAGAAATTCAAATTTTATATTTTGAAAAAATATGCTATGGTCGCAAATCAAAATGGCCAAACTCTTTTTTCCTTACGTGATATAAGCTTCCATAGTTAGGACAAATAAATTTAAAATATAGATTAATTTTTATTATATACGCATCTTATCTATATCAATATTCTATTATAACAAATTAAATAACAAATAATTACAAATTAAAATGGTATAGAAATTGATGATTTAAAAAAAAATCACACCTTCTAAATGAATGTTTGTATGATCAATTTTTTTTTTTTTTTGAGTAAAATGATAGATTTTATTATAAGAAAATTTGTCGGTGGTATAAATAATAGAGAAACCGTAAAATTGTAAGAGAATTAATAATAATAATAAAAAAAAGGATACGACTTACCAATAGAGTAATAGATTCCTTCAAATTAATATCTAAAATAAACAAATATCATAATGTGCCTTCAAATTTCAAAATAGAAATTCAAATTTCAAATTAAAAAGAAAAGATTGTGTTAAACGATAAAAAAAAAAAAGAATTACTTATTAATATTTAAAACAATAGAAATCTATAAATAGGTTGATGTGGTATTTTGAGCACATGAAATAATTCAATCTTCGAAAATCTTCCTCCAAAAACTTCTCAAACCCTTTCATACCCAAACACCACCCATTTTATTCTTTAAAGATGGCAATGTTCATAGCTATTGCTGCCGCTCTTGATTCTATAGGAATGATCGGTAATTTTCATTCTTTGATAGTAGGTTACAATTTTGAGCCTTCTGATCAGAGTTTGCTCGAGGATTTTCTCTTTAATAAGATCTACGGATACAAATATCTTCAAGGTCCTGTATCCGATTGTGATCTCTACGGCCATAGCGAACCTTGGGAAATTTGTGAATCTTTTGGTGGTATCGATGGTGAAGATCTTTATTTCTTCACTAAGCTCAATAGGTCAACGAACAACTCTGGACAATTATCAGCTCATGTCACTCGAAAGGTTGGCTTAGCCGGTGGCAATTGGAGCGGGGAGAATACACCCGAATCTATTTTTTCAACTAAATATCAAAGAGACTTCGGCTATTGCAAACGTTTCCGGTACATGATCTACTTAGAACCAACGTTATTCTTTATAATCTTCTTGATTTTGTCTTAAGTTATAAATTTTAATGGCAACTCAAGATAATATAGGGCCAAAGGCCAAATTTTATTTTTATTAATATTTAAGTCAAATATATTTAATTTGACGAGGGACGCTTTAATTTCGAAAAGGGGTCCTAAGTTTAATTTAGTTTTTAGAAATAATCCCAATCAAGGCCAAATATTATTAAAAATAAGGATTTTATTTTATTTTTCCGAACAAAAAGACGAAAAAAGCCTAAGCGAAAGAAGAGGGAACAAGACGGGGCGGAGACCCCATTACATCAGCGGTAAGAGAAAATAAAATCTAAAGAAAACACTAAAATTAGGGGATCACTGGGGAAGAGAAAATAAAATCTAAAAAAAAAAAAACCTAAAATTATTAAATATATATATTGTTATTGTTTTAATTTTTTTTCTACACTAAAGTACTTATTATACTTTGGTGTGCATATATAATTTTATTCATTATATTTGATTTAGTGTTGCATTTTTTAGACGATTGTTTTAAATATTGTAGAATTAATTTGAAAGTTAAATGGATTTTGACCATTGTTATTTATAGTGAAATTTTATGAATTAAAAATAAATGATATATTTGATTAATTTCAGGTACGAGAACGATCGACTTCCAGCTAACCATGCTGAATGGATCATGCACGAATATAGCCTACATGAGGATTGCATACTCAAAGGTGCAGATCCTAATTATGTTTTGTGTCGTATTAGAAAAAATGAAAGGCGTAACAAGAAAGGAAAGAAAATATGTTATTCTGAGACGTTGCAACCTGTTGAACAACCAGTTATGGCACCCAAGACGATCTACAAGTTGCCTTGCAGACGAAAGATAACCACCAACCAAGGTACTAGTGATCATGTGCCTTGTATTCCTGCCAACCAAGATACTAGTGATGTCTTTTGATTCCTGAGATTGCCACCAACCAAGATACTAGCAATGTGCCTTCGATTCTTGAGATGACCACCAACCAAGATAATAGTAATGTGCCTTCGATTCCTGAGATGACCACCAACCAAGATACTAGTGATGTCCTTTGGGTGCCTAAGACGGCCACTCATGAAGTCATGAGTGATGTGTTTTTCTTGCCTCAGATGGCTAACTATGATGACATGATTGATGTATTTGACTTGCCTGCGATGCCCATTGCTCATGATACTAGTGATGTGCCTGACATCCTATAAATACCACCAACGAAGGTACTAGTAGCGTGTCCTTGCCTGAGATGATTACCAATGAAGGTACGAGCAACCTGTCTTACTTACTTGAGATGACAGCCACCAATGAGGATGCAAGTGATGTGTTTTATGGGCCTGATATGACCACCAACCAAGAAGCTAATAACATGTCCGAAGGGATTGCTGATAAAGAAACTGTTCTCGAGAAATGGAAAGCTCATCTAAATATTGACAGTTTAGATGATTTAGTTGATTTTTAGTAGTTGTTTTGTACCAAGAATTATGGGATCGGATAGATTCATGAAGGTGCTAAGAATGTGCCAACCTACTTGGGATGTTTGAGTGCACTGTACAATATTGTCAGTCTTATCGGTAATTACTCTATTTCACAGTAATCAATCAGCAGTCTGCACTTTTCTTTTTTTTGTTTTTCTTTAATCTTAATTGCAGTTTTGCAGTTTTCGTTGTCAAACTGACACAAATTTTCTTTCCCTTTTGATCTGATGGAGGATTTTAACGTTCTTATGTCCCTCTTCTGTTTAACTGAACTCTATTTGTTTATGCAAGGAATTGCACAACGTTGTTTAGTGAACCAAGCTCAAACCCGGTCTTCGGCTCGACCTGAACTCAAGAGTGATCATGCACAAGAGGGCAAACTCTCCGACGCTCAAGTCAGTTTCAGGTCGGACTCAATATTAAGTTCGAGGTGAGATTCGATATCTGACTGTGAAATGAAGCCCTCTATTTATAGGTGGCGGGTCCGACAGTACTCACGACCGGCGGTTACCTTTGTCTTTTTTATGTCTAACCTGTCGGGTTTGAGCAGATGGAAGTCGTTCAGGTCGAACCGGAGCTTTTTACACTTAGCCTTGTTTATGGGCAAACTCAGTCTCCTCGGCAGGTTCGAGGTGGATCCGAGATACTTCTTTTATTTCCTGAACACCAATAAGCGTCCTCCACGTGTCCAGGGTATTTTTATCCCCAAACATTGGCCACCTCTCTGTCAGGTCCGATCTTGATCTGGCAGAGAAGTTACCCGACTCAATTTAGGACACGTGGCGACTTCTAATTCGTAGAGAAAATATGACCGTTGTGGAAGATGTTTCGATCTGCCAGGCTGTCGGAGCACTCGAGTATTCCGTCGTTACGAATTTCGAGATGATCCTAGCCACTCGTTCATTACACGTGTACGGCGTAAAGGTTTTTCCGATTAGCTATAGATAGTTTCGACACTTCAGGTCAAACCTTACGTTCCCTGAATTTTTGGAGTTCGATCTGAAACCAGCTCGAACCCTGCGTAGGTCAGTCATTCTCATTTTACTTCTTTATTTCGAATATTGTGGTTTTCATGTCTTCCCCCTCCAGTAGTGATAGCTTAGGTAGCGCAGGTTGAACTATAAGCAGTTCCCCCCATCAGACAAGTGACTCTGGGAAGGATTTAGCTTGTAGGTTAGAGTCCGAGCTAGAAAAGGTAGAGAATTTTAGGTTTTCCGACGATGGGGAAGATAGCGACACTTCTACCTCGGGTCAGGGTTTGGAATACCCTTCAAAAATGCCTGAGCACTATCTTGGACCCCTCCGTAGGGGGTTTAGTATTCCAGATGACATCATCCTTAGAGTTCCGAAGGAAGGGGAAAGAGCAGACAATTCTCAAGAGGGATGGGTCACTCTCTATTTAAAAATGTTTGAGTACGGCCTCAGCCTTCCCCTTCACCCTTTTGCCCAGGAGTTCCTAAACCGAACTGGACTGGCTCCTGCTCAAGTGGCCCCCAATGGATGGGGTGTCAATGTCCATCATGTCTAGCTCTAGAATCGAAGGATTATCCAAGATTTCGATCGGGACCGATCTCGCTAGATCGGTCTCGTATGCCGACGCCAATTTGGCTAAGGCATCTGCGTTTGAATTCTCCGACCTTGGAACTTGATTCACCTCGTAAGTTTCGAACTGGGCGAGGTGCGATCTGACTTTACTTAAATATTTTTCCATCCGGGAGTCTTTTGTTTGATACTCATCCTTGATTTGATTTACCACTAACTGGGAGTCGCTGAAGACCTTAATGTGGGTGGCCCCCAGTCCTTTGGCAACGCAGAGTTCCGCCAGAAGCGCTTCATACTCGGCCTCATTATTCGAAGTTCGAAAGTTGAATCGTAGGGCATATTCGAACCGCATGCCACCTGGTGTGAGCAGGAGGATTCTTGCTCCACATCCTCTCTCGTTGGAAGATCCGTCAACGTAGATCGTCCACGGGAGATCGAACTCGGCAGATAGAGACGGTGGAGTGAGCTCTGCAATGAAGTCTGCAACTGCTTGCCCCTTTAGTGCAGTTCTGGCTTCGAACTGGATGTCATACTCGCTCAACTCCAATGCCCATTTCATCAGGCATCCTGATGTTTCTGGCTTGTGGAAGATGTTCTTCAGGGGCAAGTTGGTAAGCACCACAATGGTGTGTGCTTGGAAATACGGCCTAAGTCTTCGGGCCGAGGTGACCAAGGCGAGGGCCAGCTTTTCCATTTGTGGATACCTGGTCTCGGCCTCAGTCATGGCCTTACTCGTATAGTAAACTGGACTTTGGCGTACCCCCTCCTACTTAATTAGGGTTGAGCTGACGGCACTATCAGTTACAGCTAAATACAAGTGGAGCTTGTCTCCTGGCAAGGGCTTGGTGAGTAGTGGTGCCGAGCAGAGGTAGGTCTTTAATTGTTCCAGTGCTTGCTCGCACTCTGTCGTCCATTCAAATGGCCCCTTCTTTCTTAGGATTTTGAAGAAAGGAAGACACTTATCTGTTGACCTCGAGACAAATCTATTCAGAGCTGTTTAAGTGTTTTGGGTGCTTCCATCTCGAGCACGGCCTTTATCTTCTCTGGGTTAGCTTCGATCCCACGGTTATTTACCATGAAGCCAAGAAACTTACCCGAGGAGACACCAAAGGCACACTTAGCTGGATTAAGCTTCATTTGATACTTTCGCAGTACTTCGAAGGCTTCGGTCAGGTCAGAAAGATGCGACTTTGACTGCTTGTTCTTGACAAGCATGTCGTCCACATATACTTCCATGTTCCGACCAATCTGCTTGGTGAACATTTTATTCACCATTCTTTAGTAGGTCGCACCTGCGTTTTTTAGGCCGAAGGGCATAACCTTATAGCAGTACAGACCTTGGTCTGTTATGAACGCGATATGATCTTGATCTAGCATATACATTTTAATTTGGTTGTATCTGGAGTAGGCATCCATGAAGGTGAGCAGCTCGTGCCCGGCTGTTGCGTCTACGAGCTGGTCGATCCTTGGTAGTGGGAAGCAATCTTTTGGGCATGCCTTATTTAGATTTGTAAAATCTACGCACATTCTCCACTTCCCGTTAGCTTTTTTGACTAATACAACATTAGAAAGCCGCCCGGGATACAAAATTTCTCTTATATATTCAGCTTTTAAAAGTTTGTTTGCTTCTTCAACAATTACATCACTCCTCTCCTTATTTACATGTCTTCTCTTTTGCTTTACAGGTCGGAATGATAGATCTATGTTGAGGCGATGCACCATGATCCTTGGGTCTATGCCAGGCATGTCCTCGTAGGACCATGCAAAAACATCCGAGCTGGACCTGAGGAAGTTGATCAGTTCTTCCTTCTCAGTGGCCCCCAGCTTGGTTCCTATGCTTACTTACTTCTTAGGACTAAGTAAAGGAACAAGCTCGAGCTCTTCGATCTGGCGCTTGAGTTCCCAGCAACTCGAAGTGTTATGGCCGTGATCACGATGAAAACGACAATACTTATCTTTGTTGCGCTTTTCTGGGTCTCCTCTGAGCTTCTCCGGTCGCTTGAGGAGCTTCTCCATCCCAGTCTCTTCAATGTTTGTTAGTATTTCAAAGATGTGGATGGTAGTAGGAGTATAACGTTCATAAGGTCGGCTTCGATTTTGACCGCTATCCGACCTGCGATAATCAGCTCGGCTGTTGGAGGAGGATGGTCCCTTGTCTTTGGACTTGGAGTTAGTCTTACTCTTGTCCTGGTCGGACCTCCTTTGGTCGATCTTCTTTTCTGGTCGGCCAGTCTTGGTCCGGAGGAGCTCTTGCCCATCATTATTGAAGATTTTTCTTATCTTCAGGAGTGAAAACTGAACCATGTCAAAAGAATATTTGAGATTCCAGAAACGTATTTAATCGATTAAGAGGTAGAGTAACAAAAGCATGTATTCGTATTATCTTCAACTTTTATTTCTTTTAGATTATTTTAATATTTTTATGTGGATTACTTTTAAGTTATATATTCATGATACCTTCGTATTTTAATATTTAGTTTGTTATTTTCAAGTTTGATTTAATATTTAGTTAAGTCTCTTCTCAAGTTTTAAAATATATTCATGTTATATTTTAGTATTAGTTTTCTTATTTATCTTAGTATGACTTTTTGATTGTTGTTGTTCTTATTTTATTTTTCTTGATCATGTGATTCTTTATTCCACATTTTTTCAATGATTTCATGCATACATACTATTCAGTTTCTCTCTCAAATTTCAATTTTTTAATTTGGGTTCATTCTTCCTTATTACATAATATACAAAAGATAAAAGAATGAGTAAATAATTTAAGAAAACACATAAAAAGATTATTGTTGTTTTCTTAAAAAAAATTGACAACGAATAATATATTTTATTTGAAACAAAATATTAAGATCATTTAAAAGTTCGTTGAGTTGTTATTCTATATGTTAGATTGGTAGAAATATTATATTAAATATATTTATTTAAAACAAAATATTAGTGCATTTAAAAGTTTTGTTGAGTTGTTATTCTATAGGTTAAATTGTTAGAAATATTATATTAAAATGTTTATAACCACGTATAATGCACGTGATATTAACTAGTATTCATAAAAAGTGGCTAAATGACATATTAGGTTGAGTTTTTTTTTTTAAATAAAAAGTATTTATAAAATTAATATATATAAAAAATTAGAAAAAGTAATAAAATATTAAACGGGACGAGGACAGGGACGGGCGAGGAATCCT